ACTTTGAACATGGTAGTCGATGCCATAATTCATTGATGATAGGTAAGACGATGGGGGCAGAGGCCACAAGAAGCTACTAGTTGGTCAGGTAATAATTATTTTCATCTTAATAGACCCCGAAGGTACATTACCGTACGCTCCAACGCCCTCCCGAAGGTCCATTACCGTACGCGCCAACGCCTTACTTGTGTAAGATCCATTTTAATATTATCTCCCTTTTTACGCCTACCGGTCTCTTCATTTTAGGATTTTCGACTAAGGTTCTGTATTCATCTGGTTCTCTTCAAATTTCACTTTAATAATATTTGATGAAGAGAGGAAGTTTCCATTTATTAAGTACCACCAATGCGCATTTAAGTAACATAAATAATTTTATCTATTCTCCTTTGTTTCAGGTGAGCCACTCACTTCCATTGGGGTAATTTTCATCGTCATGGTAAGTTTAAATTCTCTTGTGACCACTCACCCGCCATCTAGTGCTAAAGTTATGAATTACTGGGAGCAACACTACAACTCCCCTTGAGCGTCTACATGGCGCGCAGCGGGACAGCTTTACTTTTTACTGTGTTTTACCTTCGGGTTTCATAGATGACGAAACATGTCTGTGTTTTAAACGACAGTCGGATTCTCAAGGGAACCTCCACTTCGTGTGGGGTTAGTGATGGAATTTTGATGTTAGATATCGCTGGGTTAAAATTGCGTGTATAACGTCTTTGAAAACGAAGTGAACGCGATAGTTGGTGCAGACCGAACTCACTTCCTTCTTGCCATAATTACGTCGTTAAACAAGATGGAGTTCGCTTCGCACGTGGTGCTTCCAGGTGGAGCCGATCTGTTGGTCTGCTCGGAGCGGTATTGTTCTGTCACCCCCTCCCCTCCTCCCCCCCTCATGTTCAACATATTCTATTTTTATCGGCGGGGAGTCGAAACAGACCATGTTCTTGTAATAATTGTCTCACCCGCAAGCCCTTAGCTAACAGAAACTATTATCGACCTCTGTAAGTACCTCTGGAGAGCCCGTGGCACACTGGCATTCTCACGCCTTCCCATAATGCAGTTCGAAAACATTCACTGAAAGGTTTTCCGTGGGCGTGTTCTTACGTTCCTTCCTTACACTTGTAAATCAACAGCGTCACGTTTATTAATTTCATTTCGCGTATTCGTGGTACCATGTTCGATCATGCGGATGTTTTTTTTCTGAGTACTGGCGCCATGTGGGTGGAGGATGGACTGTAGACGTTTCATATGCCCGTGGGGATTTCGAGTTAACATTCCGTGTCAGGGAAATTATGTGATTGGAGAGCTGGTCGAAATGGCGATAATTGGAAGATTTTTTTTTGTGAATCTGTGTCTCTGTGATGGGTTATTCCAATGCGTGGTATTCAACTTCGGAATTTCAATAAATCGTGTGGCATGCTTTAGCGTATAATAATTTTTTTTATTGCGTTTTGTTTGCGCTCAAAAATCTGTCTGCTACCAACTTTTGGCTCGGGACTGATATTTTAGGAATTTCCGTATCGGAAAGTTTCTCGCATTGCTTCAGACTTGCCGATAGGGAAACTACCCCGTCCGTGGTGTTATTTCCGTGTTGCTACGCCCTCTCATTATTCCCTGTGATTGACTCTCGAGTACCAAGACATTCCTTTTTAATTTACCAATTCTAGAAATGAATTCTATTTTGAACTTCATTGAGATTAGTTTTGCTTTTATGCTAAAGCTGTATGTTAATTTATGTTAAATTAAATTGTCAACTTGGATCAGCTTTTCGAATCGAACAATGGGTAGGGTTACATGAAGAAGGACTTTCTTTGTACAGAAGATGGTGCTTGCTGCATCTTCTGAAGATCTACCCCCCACCCCCCATTTAAATCGTGCTATGGCGACCGGGTTAGGAGTTGGGGACTGAGCTTCAAGATCTCTTAGATCCTGCACGCGACTCATTAAATCACTTTCCTGCCCCCCACCCCCCACCCCCCACACAACGCTCTTCATTTGAACCCTCTTCCAAACTTCAACACCTACAGCGTGTTCCTCGACAAACCCCGATAGAATTAGTCGCCAGATTATAATGAAGAATAACATACTGCAGAATTATGTCATAGGCCATCACCTCTGATGATTGGTTGATTGTGTGAATAGGAAACGTAGTCTTACAGGCAGTGCACACGAGACTCAGGCTAGAAAAATAAATTAAAGATGCCAAACTGTGGTGAGCGACTACCAGCGTGTTAGGGAGCCAAAGTTCTACTTGAAATTCAGTTCTTAGTAAGACTCCAAATTTTTCAGTGTGTAGTGGAAGAAGGTGGTTGTCTTGTGGGTTGTTGCGGATGGAGGCAGCAGGGACATCTGAAACGTCGGTAAAGTTCTATGAGACTACACGGCAGATGACAGCCATCTTCAGACTCACCGCCGTGCTAAACCTCAGATCCTACATTTCGTAGAAGGTTTGTGTTCAGCTAAGCGTCTCGCGAGCCACGGGCGGAATTACGAGAGTTCGCGGCTTCTTCTGATAAATTAGACGAGAGATTTGGAGCAGCAGCGTATTGTACTTTCAGCAATGAAGTCGCGAGCACGTGGATGTGAAGACTTGATCTCGTGAAGACAATGAGCGTTTTGCAACCAACCTGCAGGAAATGAGACCTCCCCTCATTATGCTGATAGCGCCGCGTTCAATCTGACTGGGTGGAGCCAAGGACAGGGCTGCACAAAACTTCCCCACGGATTTCTGCGTCTGTCCTTCGCGAGCCCTGGTTGGTACCACGTCCACAGGTTGGATTCAGTGTCGGTGGTTTAGTATAAATTATAAAAAGTTTCAGACATTTTATTTAATTTCACATATTTTTTTAAAATAGCAAGGAATTTTTTAATTACCCGAGTAGCTATTGGATTCTTAAGAAGGAGATTCTGGGCCATGGAGCTAATTGTGTATTTTTTTAATTTATCTTATGCTTACAGTACAGGGCGTACCGTTAAGAACTGATCCCTAGAACAATCACAAAATTTGGCACGACATTTAAGTCAACTTAACACCTTAAGTTGTCCACATGCTGTATTTGTGAGCAGGACCGCGTGTTCATTCTAGAACAATTCACATCGCATCGAAATCGCTTGATGCCGTTCCTAAAACATTTAGCAATCAGTTTTAATGACCAAGAAAGTGTCCAAAATAAGACAACATTACATCAGTTCCCGGATAAAGGAATTGCTTTTGTGGACTAATTTGAAATCGAGCGACCAAACAGTTGCTTGTCGATTATCAGCTGAAACGATAGAATTTTATTATTATTTTATTCCGGTTAATTGGGCCATCGGTGAATCGGAGCAGCCTCTTAATTGGGCCAAAATATTCCAGTCCCGATGTGTCCCATTTAACCGGAATCCACTGTAAGTCGCTTTTAGGACGTCTCTCAAAGCGAAAACTATTTGTGTTTGTGAGGTGCCTCGCTTTTAGCACTCGAAGGACCAGCCAGCCTCTTACGTCACGCAGAATTATTCTGCATTCGAATGCACAGAAGTTTCGTATATCCCTGGCAATTGGTAGCGAACGAGTGGAGAGAATCCGGTGTTACGAGCGGCAAGCCTGCTTCAATCTCAGTTCTGCAGTTATCAAGGTGTGATCGTTCGACAGGATTTGAGCTCGGCCCCTTACAGATCGGAGATAGCTTACGGCACGACACGTCAAAACTGCCGACGCGAGGCGTCTTGTGACGTGTGTCCTCCATTAAACCAGTCATAATTAGTATTTCCAAATATTTTAGTTTCATCATTTGAGACGTGTACATACATATTTAAAACAGAAGAGAAATTGTTTCGGACTTCGTCTGTTTTTTTTAAAAAGAACACCACGTTTCGGAAGCTAGATCTGCTTCCATCCTCAGGTTGTTGTTATTATTAACGTAAGGAATTTTTGGCAGAAATAACTCGTGTCTTCGTACCTCAGAATATTGCGATAGACTGGGACAGCGGTGTGGTACGTGCTGGAAACAAATCTGGAGAGAAACCTGACAGCGTTAAAACATACCTCGATTTCCTATCGTCCTATCTGTTCTACAGGACTTTGGGGGTGTTACTTCCAGTTCAAATTATCTGGTGGTAGTTCCGTTTGCTGAGCGGAGCTTATGTAGAAGGGGAAGGGGGGGGGGAGGATCGTATAAGATGGGTTCTTAACCGTAGAAGAAGGTCTTACTTTTATCGAGATTAATTTCCTTTCTGCTTTACGAATTTGTCAGCCATTGGTATGCCTCATTCCAGCACGTTGTGGAAGTCTGAAAATGTTCGCGGCTCTGAAATTCATTCCACTCTTTTATGTGTTATTTATGAAAAAGTAAATGTTATCTTCTGTGATTTACGCTTAATCTGAAGTGTATGTAACAAAGATTTAGGTTCTTCGTACCATCTACCAATGCTTATTCTGTGAGAATTTCTTTAATAAAATTAATTAATTAGAGTCTCATGTATAATCATTTAAATCCGAGTGGTAACTATATGTACCACCTGCTTTAACAATCGTTTAACTCTCAAATTATCCTGGTGACGTATATGACCGATAAGAGTTGAGTTTTCTTTGCGGTACGGACTGAATTATTAGGGTAAATATTATTTTTAACATCACCGTTTATCTGCCCAACTACGAAGTGACATTAGTGTTTGATTTAAAAAAATTTAAATACACGACTACAAATCTCAGATTTTTTTTTACTGTATTACTGAAAATATTGTTACAGCAGTGACGCCTCTGACCCATGTATAATATGGAGCGTCGTTGCATGTTATTTCAGTTACTTATCTTAACCTCCCGAAATGTCGCGGACAATTAAACTTATTAGTCGGCAGAAAGAGTTTAAATGTCCTGCGAATATGAGGACGTATTTTTGCGTGAACATGTTTTCTGTCTGTATAAATCAGGGCTGTGCTCGGCGGAGTGTCCCGTTTGACCCTGCGTTGCTCCTGCTGTGGCGCTGGGCGTCGATTCGTTTCGCTGCCAGTCGCGTCTAGGTCGGCGCTCTGTACGTACGTACGCCCGCTCTCCGTCTGTCACTTGTCTGCGTTGCTATTGAGACATCTACTCGCGGTCCGACGGGAATCCTCCGCTTGTGTGTACGAATGCAGTACGATGCGATGCTAGCTAACGTTTCGGACTTCTAAAGGTTAGTGTCGTACTGTAAAATAATTCTTTATGTAACACGTTTTAATTTTCGGAGAAGCCGAATCCGCGAAACTTCGCTTTACGTATTGTAGGCGAATGGAGCCCGTGGAAAAGTTTACAAGTGCGTCCTGAAGACGAGTGAGGAGTGTATTTGTAAAAAAAAATCCTTTCATCGTGATTTGTTGGAATTTATTTTTGTAGCGAAATTTCACCTCACATGATCTACTGCATTGAAGTTCGCGGAAAAAGTTAACAATTTGTAACGAGCATACGTGAGAGTGTATTTGTTAAATTATTTCGTAATAATTGTTAGAATTTATTCGGAGTGTAAGCCAATTTATGGCTTTCTTTAATAAAATAAAAACGAAACATTCGACCTTCTAACGTATTGTTGTAGAAAGTTTCGGAATATTCGTAAATCTAAATTATATCTCGTCATTGATTCAGTATTTCATGTGCCTTCACTAATTTTTCTACGATTCGGGTCACAATAGCTCCTCTTAGATTCCCATACTTGTTAATTTTCTTTTAATGTTATTTTTGGATCTGAAGACAGATGTCACTTTAAGTAATGTGTTAATTAAACAGTGAAAGAACATTATTAATTTCAGTGAAATTTAGTACATGTAGAACGAGATTTTCGTGACATTTTTAGAATCAAGGACATGAATAAATCATAAATGTCTCTCCCTTTTGAAGTTTCGTAAATAATATAATAGCATAAATTTATTTTGCTTAGTAATATTTGATGGAAATATGTGAAATCTTATTATTTTGACAATTCTATTAAATATTGATGGCGTGCTAAGGAACTCGGTATTTGAGGTGGTTTGTTTAAAGACTTGTGGTCCAATTGTCGTGCGTGTGAAATGCCATTTTAATATATTCGTTTCTGATCATTAATCCGTACATTTTCCGAGAAAAAACTGTTTTTGACATCTGTGACAGTAATACTTAATTTAATTCGTAGAATCACGTGTTCGGTGTTCCGCTGCGTGACGACGTTTTCGGTGTAAGACTTAGCATTATCGCAACTGTTGATAAATGTAATCTGAAGTAAAAGGACAAGCTTTGTACGTGGAAATATTTTTACAGTGATTAGTTTTACTTTGTCTTTGTCAGCTCCAGCTGACTGAACTTTCAAGTTTAAAGGTCACTCGTTTATAACTTTAATTTGTATTTGCTTATTTTACGTAACGCGGCTTTAGATTTATATAGGACAACGTTTCATAAACATATTCTTTTCTGACTTACGATTTTAGTTAGTAGACACAAAACTACTTGCTTTCTTTCAATTATTAACCGCGTATTAACAGATAATTCTAAATCCGCTGTTACAATTTAGACGAATGTTTGTTATGTGATAATCTCGATGTCGATCCATCTCGCATGTTTCATATTAGATTCAACCCAATTATAAATTAAACTAAACTAACTCTATCGAACAGAGTCCGTCTTGAGAAACTTGTAGTAGCTCATCTAATCAAGAAATTTCGTGCCTTATGTGGAACTCGGAGATTCGTTATTGTTTTCGCAAGATATCGCCGTCGGCGTATCCCGAACCAGATTAGTCCAATCCATACTGAAAACAGAATTTCCCTAAGAACTCTTTTAATAATATCCTGCCATTTATGCCTAGGTCTTCCGAGTGGTCTCTTCCCTTCAGGCGTTCCAATCAATATTTGTACAAATTTCTTACTCAACTATTGCATTTCTCATACTTGAGCTGTAAATTAGGAGGCATATAAGGTGAGATTTCAGGTCCTCACGGAGACGAATATGAAGATAACTGTCTTATGTTGCAGCATGTAGTCTGGTTGAAGTTTACCGGCGTTTCGGATGTGTTCTGTGCCTCCATCGTCAGGGTTTCTAGAATGCACGACGCAACAACTCAGAAGACGATATTCGTTATGTAATAGGCACGTAAAATGTGAAAGAATTACTGCGTGGTATATGGAAGACGTATATTAGGATGAAAATTTTATTTTTGGAATCTGACTGTCATAAAGTCAATTAAGACTTAGTGTTTGTTCTAGCAGAAATAATCCAGCTGTCAACGCGTTTCGAGCTGACAGTTCTATCGACGTGGGACAATATTATACCTCTCCCAGTCTTTGAATTTTGCATAATTTGTAAATGTTGACAGATGGAAAATATTCCCTCGCTAACAAAATATAATTAATAGTCTTTTCGTATTTAAATTTTCAGTACGGTAATGCCATATTTTGTAATCCACTTAAAGTTTTGCGCTTAAGAAAGTTTAGTGGCGTTCTATTAACTTCAAGTTTTGGGGAGATCGTCTTTAATAATTGCTGTTTACATCGAGTATTCACAAATTAGCTTTAGAGTAAGCAGATTATAAGCTGAGAGACGAGATCGACCACATTGTGGCTGAGTTGCGAGTGAATCGTATAGTCACGTCTAAAACGTTGGTTGTGATGTCGATTAATTGCGATTGTGGGTCACCTACCTCAGCTTGATCGTAAAATAATATTACTGTTTAATTGTCTGAGACATTTTCGGTATCAAAATCTGTGGAGACTATAAAATGTGCAAAATTTCATGAACTCGAAGCTCGTGTATATAAAGTATTTAAGTAAAGAAGGATGTAGCTGTAGTCTGGTGGAATATTTAAAAAATTCAGTCCGTACCGCAAAGAAAATACGACACTTCACCATTACGACGATCAACTGGTTAACGCTGTTTAATAATATGAAGCAGGCGGTGCATTCAATTACAATACAGATTTTAATATTAATTTCTCATCGACGCTTTGGTATACCCATGCATGCTACATGTCTGGTCTACTTTCTGGATATATTTTAGTCTGTAACATTTTTTTCGAGCCTTATCGAAATCCGGATGCGTTAGACAGACTTTCCGATCGACATAAAGGCGAACTGCTGGGTTGCTAATCACAGAGATGAAACAGCCAATACCGACACAAATTACTTTTCAGACTTCAAAATTGAAGTTGTCCCAAACGTAATATAAATGTTATCAATGCTTTCACGAGTGTGGAGAATAGGAGATGGGAGACCGATATTTTCGCCTCATATCGTCCGGATTTACTGTTGTTTAACGTTTCAATTTATAATGACATGTTTAATTACATTCTGGCATGGCACAATGGAAGTTCGTTTTGTTTCTGGCCTTTTGTTAGTGTTAGCAAAATATTAATTTTACGCTGTGTGTGCTTTACGAAATTTAACTGAGATATTCTGTTTAATTTAATAGTTTTCATTGTGTTTTCGGAATTATCAGATGTGCAGCGCTGACTCTATAATCAAGTGGTACATAACAGGATCACAGCATCTCGCGATCTCCCTTTCTGGAAACCATTTCGAATAAAGTAACCACTGATAATGTTTAAAACTAGAAAATGGGACTTGAGTAAAATTTCGGATGGAATTCTATATCGTTTCGAAGTGGTTTATACTTTAAATTTAAGTTTGGAAGTTCTTTACCGGGACTGTGCATGCGAAATATGACGATGTTGGACCTGATATCTTAATGAATGGAACGTAGAAGAAGTGTCTCGTCCCTAGATTACGTCTCATTTCGAACACATCTCATTTTCTTGTAATTTGATCTGTGGTAACATCAGAACAACTCGGATGTTCATATAGAAACTCGAGAATACCGAATATAATTAATTATATGTACCAGCTGCTATTAATATCAGTAACTTAATTTTGTTTTTATGTGTTTTGTATGATTTGCCGAGTAAACAGCGATTATCTCCTTAAACAGCGTTAACCAGTTGATGTTCGTAACGGTGAAGTGTTGTGTTTTCTCCGCGGTACGGGCTGAATTATTAAATAATATTCAGACGAACTATGATTCTCAGAATAAACAGCGATTATTTCCTTAAACAGCGTTAACCAGTTGATGTTCGTAACGGTGAAGTGTTGTGTTTTCTCCGCGGTACGGGCTGAATTATTAAATAATATTTGGGAGAGCTTCGAAGGGTTAAAGGAGTGTTGTAATGTGGTCCCCGCACTCCTCCCGACTAGCGATCTGACGTCAAGCTAGACAATTTTTCTTGAAGTTTAAGAGTCTTCAAAAAGTCCCTTTACACGTGTGCAGTTGGTGTTTTAGTGCGTAGTTGACCACGCGTGGTTATTTCCCTTAACACGCTACAGTCCACGTCCAGTTACTGTGTTTGGCGTTTTTTACACACTAATGCATTATCCAGTAGTGCCGCCTGTCTCTTAAAGTGTCTTAGACTGATCGCCGTTTACGATAAATGATTCGTATTATAGTTTTAAACGGATGAACCATGGCAAGAGTCAGGTTGATTTTTGTAATCGCAAGTAGAATTTATTTTTCCTCTCTCCTTGGATGTAAATAACATTGACGTAAATTTGTTGATGATTGAAATTGTTTATTTTAAGTTATTCCGTATATAGAACACCTTTTCATTAAAATGTTTTTGAAAAAAAAAGTGTGTGAGATGAGAAATGCCAACAAGATTTTAATCGGAGAACAGAAAACTAAGAGGCCACTTAATAGACCTAAATGTAAAAGGGAGGATGATATAAAATGATTCTTAAGAATATATGTCAGGATGTTGATTGGATTAGTCTGGCTCGGAACAGGATCTATTGACAGATTCTTGTGAAGACGGTAATCGAATTTTGGTTTCTGAGAAGACGGGACGTTTCTTGGCTAGCTGTGAGATTTCTGTCTTCTGATGAAGAACTCTGATCTATGGAGTTAGTTTGGTAGAAATCCGTCCTTGTACCTGTCACCAAATGTAATTATAAGGTTACCTGTAATGTTCTTTGAATATATTATTTTGCAGTCATGCTTAAAAAATATTAATATTCGTATAATCGTTTTACGAGTTATAAAGTTATTGGCAGGTGGATTTTCATTCCAGTATAAGTGCCAAATTAGTGCCTTGTTATTAAATTTTTTTGTTCATAAATGCGCCGTCCGTCAGTGTGACATCGATGACCAATTTTGGATTGTAATTGACAAAAATTACGACTACAGAAAAATATCAAATCACAATTACGTACATGAAGTGTTATCCGTTTGAATTTTAATCTGTTCAGATTGAATTTTCGTGAATATAAAATGTATGATCCGGCAGATTCAAAGTGACAGTCAAATACAGATTTTTAATGTTCATATAGATATTTAATTGATGTCCGATTCAGTGGAGGTTAAAGGTAATATGACGAGGGGAAGTGAGCTTACAGTCGCGTTCTAATTCTGTGGCCCGTCTCTTTAAAATTCATAATGTGAGTGTAATAACAAGATTATCATGACGTTTTATAACCAGGTTATTGCTTGGGGCTAAAGGTCCGTGCCTTGTGCCTATTACGTGGTAGACATTAAAGGGTTTATATTAGTATAGGGGGTTGAATTAAGGGTGGGGGTGGAAATTATGCAGGGCACAGTGCAGTAGTCATTTCAGTTGGTACTTTCAAGTTTTGTGTGTGTCTGTACCGCGTTTCCTGTGTTGATTTTTGGCAGTGACAATATATTTGACAGTTGAACGCCACGAAATTATTGGTCCACTGCTCGGTTTCAAAACAGAAATTAGCTGCGAATTAAGAAATGACGTCACAGATGAAACGAGCTGTTGGTTTCTTTATTGTGAATTTGTTTTTGCGTTTATTGAACTGTAAATGAACAATATATTGTGTAAAGATAAATAATTTATCCGACACAGATGTGACTCTTCATGGGGGACGAGCACGAAGATGGCTGTCTTCTGGGATGTTGCGCCGTGTAGTCTGATAGAAGTTTACCGACGTTTCGGAGCATGGCTCAGCCTCCTGATCACGAAGGCAGTGAGAACTTCTGAAACGTCTTGTCATTTTCTGCAGGATGATAGAGCGCAACGTCCCAGAAGGCTGTCATATATATGATATTCCCCCCTCCCCCCAGAAGATGAAATCTCACTTGGGACTAAATTTTCTCGAAATTAATTAGTATGGGAAATGAAACATGTAGACGGGCAAATAAATCGGATCATTTACTGGAGAAATAAAAATAATTAATTTTTTATAACCTCTGAAATATATGGCACGTGTACTACGTAATTATTTTATAATTACGCCATTTATGAAGATTGTAAGTACGCTGTTAGACTATGTGGAAGTTGGATGGGATGCACCGGCCACCATTTTGATTTGATTGGATAATGTTTGCAGGTACGGTGCGGTCAAAACTGCAAGGCTTCTCTGCATCTGTTAAACTTTGTTTCACCTCATTTCGTGAATGCTAAGAGATGCTCGGTGTGGCAGTCGTGATGATGGAGTAGACGTATTCGCGGAAAATGAAATTACGTTCCGAATAAGGGCCCGAATAATTTTTGTTTATATCCGCGTGATGACGGTCTGACTGTGAAAAGGAAATTTTCGTGACTTTGAACCGAGTGTGTAGCTGTTTAAAATGACGAAATTTGGACTCTGTCCTTTAATGAAGTGTAACGTGTTCATTGTGCAAGTGAGATGACCGGCGGAACTCGGTTCAGACACCAGCATTGATTTCCATCTGCAAAGCAAGGACAGGGCTTGGACATAATGGACGCTCTTGCGAACAAAGACGCCTCTACGACCACTTCAAGGTAGGAATTGAAGTCTATTAAGCGGCGTGTACGAGTATCATGATTATTTATTACCTTCCGATGTGTTTCAGAACTTTCTGTGATCATCCAATACCATTCTCTTGTGTCCACTTTAATTTTAAACGGAGAGCGTTCAGTGAAACAGCTCGTCCACTTATAAAGTTCAACGTTAACTGTCACTTCCCGACATGAACTACTATTATTTGGTAAGTCTATATTATTGTTTTTTACTGAGCGATGTTTGACTTGTATCGTGGTAAATATTTTTAGCATTTGGCGGTGAGTCATGCAGTCCCAATCGGATACCGGGAAGAGACAGTAACGTTCAACTTTATCGGTGGACTTTTTCTATTTGCGTGTTCGTCACAGCACAAAATTAACCAGTAACCATAAATGTTTCTTTTTCATTTATATTTTGCAATCGCCGTGTTTTGATTAATAAAAGCACTGATAATTAAGGCGCATGGAATATTTATCAAGACACTCTCTGCGCCAATCGTGAAATAACTCGTAGACAGTAGCAAACATTTGCAATAAAAGCTTAGAGCAGATATAAGACTTAATTTTACGTATCTGTTTTCATGGAATGAGATTCTTTCTTGAGAAGTGTTGGCTTTCTCGTAATCAAACTTTCGAGTTCTGATACCAAGGAGTTTGTAATAAATGCATGTGCCAAGTAGTTTGTTAAAAGCAACTTGTAAACGTTTATGCCTTATGATTTCGCCACTCCTGTTCTTACGAAGAGAGTCTATTATGGATTGTGTGTTGCATCAACAGCTGGTGGCTTCCGTGTTGCTTAACGCCTTTGCAGACGTCTGGGTCGTTGGGAATTGCTCGTGGTAGCTCGAGATAGCATCTGACTTCGTGATCGATACTCCGCCTCTTATCACGAGATGACGTAGTCACGAATTTATGTGGTTTTTGCAGCACATTTCAACACCATGTGGCAGTGAGTATGACCTCTGAAACGTTGGTTAACATCGACCAGACTACACAGCGCAATAACCCAGAAGACGGATATCTTCATACTCACCGCTGTGAGAACCTCAAGTCTTACAAAGGAAAAGCTGTTGTATCCTATTTTGTGACTTTTCCATAATGTTATAGCCCTTTTCCTCCTCAGTTCTCAGCGATTTTGACTGAGTTTGTTGCTAGGGGTCCACATAAAATACAATTATTTTTTAAGGGCCAAAATGTTTTGCTGATCCAAGGAGGTCAAAAGTATGATTCTTCCCGGTACATGCCGTGGAGGTATATTTCCGAATCGTAATTGACTTCAGCACTAGAAGGAGCTAGTTCTCAACAAGAAAGCTCTGGGACACAGAAATGAAGCCGGAAGATAGTCCACCTGGTGTAATCATCTCTCTCGACCACCGCGGTAATGTTCGAGTCAAGGTCACCCTGGTTGCTAGGCCTCTGATCACTCCAGCTGCGCAGAACCTTCGCAGGTATAAATATGACGTATTCACGAGCAGAGCGTGTGTTCGTTTCCGAAACCGTTCGGTGCTGCTCGTGAAACGTTCGTCAGTTCGCGTGTCCTGACAAGGAAGTGCCGGAAAAGACGACAATGCCGAATGTTTCGGGACACACGAAGTGTTTGCCTGTGACAGATGCGCTTTGCTATTGGTTGTATCGTTTCGTGCGTGAATTTCTTCATACGTAGTTGTTAGGTTTTGCTTTTTAAATGGAGAATCAGATGGGTTCTAAAAGTTTCGGAGAACCGTACTTCAGGGCTGACGTACGGGACAGATTAAACATAGATTTTTTTTAAAAAAAACAGCGTTTGATCTTTGTAATGAATACGCGCTGTGTTCTCTTTGCGGTACGGGCTTATTTTTTTAAATAACATGTATATGAGCTTTGGCTTGAAGGATTTATTGAGAATATTTTTATGTTAATTTAATGTGATAATGCAAATATTTTGATCGTCATGAATTTTTGCAATCGGCCAACATTCTGATTAAAATTTAGGTTCGCATAATTTAACAGTGAGATCTGCTGGAGAGAAATTAATTTTGGACTTTCTGATAGATGCAGTACGCAGTAATGCAATTACTGCAGGCATTAATTCAAATGCAAATCGATATTGGTACAATAATTCCACGCGCTATAGATTATAACATAATCCTCTGTGTGTAGCAACGCACATCATTAACACAATCTTAATTATCATATCAATCATTATTATTGTTCTTATTATTACCGCTCACACCACTGAACACGTGATTTATATTATGTCCCGGGTTAAAATCCAGAGCAGAGTTGATTATAGACTTCGAATAAGACGCTGTATATATGGACTTTGGCGTGGTATTTCAAGAGTTTGTATACATTTGATGCAAGATGTTTATTTTCTGTGCTGGACTGTACCGCTGTATGGACGTTGCGATATTTCGAGTTTAATTTTTCAAACCAAACCGAAAATAGCTGTTACTAGGTTTTAATTTTCACTGGATATTTGTTTACCTTTGAAAACATTTTCGTTGAATAGACGTTTGATGTTAATTACTACAAATTTTTTTTCGCTTTTTGATTATTCTTTTGAACAATTTCATATTCTTTGTTGTGATTGTTCTTTGTGATCGTAAAAATAACGTTTGTGTTGTGTTCTGTTACGCTTGTATTTCCGGACGGTAATTCGACCTACATTGCACCATGCTAACTGTTGAAGTAAAAGCACTGCCCTTGTGTTTAACTCATCGTATTTCCGCCACTCAGATCTTCAGCTCGTATTTCGCTGTAGTCAATTCCACCGTTTCCACACTCGTCTCCAACTCCGCCTCCTGGATCAGCCTTTAGGTTTTCCATTTTGTTTAGGTACGTATAAAATATTTCATGCTTAAAGAGTAGCTTTATAAAAATGTTTGTATGTAATATAGATTTAGGGAGGTTTAATCATAAGTCTGATTAATGAACATGTGTACCTACATCATAGACTACATGGACCAAAATCGATCGCCTGAAACTTAGGTGTTAAGTGTAGCAGCGTCCGTTGAGGCCTCTAGATCACCAAAACGAAGGAAATTTCTCAAATTATTACTCGTCTATCTAAGCGATTGTCAGCTTCTCAATAGAGACATTTCCAAGGAGTTAGAATCTGCTTCGGCTGTTATATCAGCT